GAGACTGCAGAACAGGATCAGACCGAAGTGGCTGCTGTCCCATTGTGCCTGGTCCTGCTCCTGTGGGGCTGGGCTGTTAGGGACCCTCAGAGGCCTGCCAGCAAGATGGTACAATTGAAACAGTTGCTTGCAAAAGTTTTAGATTGCCCCTCCCCCACCTGGACCCTGGATTAAGAGTCCCATTTGATTGTGTGCTGATAAGGGATCTAGCAGGGCAGGTAGGAAGCAGGGGGAGCAGTTCTGGGCACTGAGCTCCTAGCAGGGACTTGTGTGAGTGAACAGAGCAGCACGGGCCTGGTCGGCTCCCTGGGCTGCGTGTGCCTCTGGCGTGGAGGAGTTGCTGGCTCTAGGAGAAGCCGGGCTGTGGAAAATGGTGTCCAGGCAGGCTAGGAAAGTGTCGCTTTAAAATGACCGGTCTGGTGGCAGGGGCTGCCTTACCTAGGAACTGCTTCTCCCTTCTCCAAGAGACCTTTTAACTTCTCGCCACCTGAAGAAAACAGGACCCCTGAGAAGGAAAAGGAGCTGCCGGAGGTGGGGGACCGGCGTGGGGTTCCCAGTGCAGTGGCTGGGCCACCCCAGATTGTGGCTGTGGCGTGGCGGGAGGTATGCCGCGGGCGTGGCAGGAGTGAGCCCAGAGGAAACCTAATCAGGGGCAGCACGTGACTCCAGATTAAAAGGGAACAACTGCAGGGACCATTACTGGAAGAAACAAGCCTCTGTGTGGCAAAGGCTCTCCGCGTCCCTATTTTTGTCCCCACTTTGTTCAGGGTCCATGAGACAGAGTGTTACTTCCCACGATGCAGGGGCTCGGACTTGAGAGGTGTCAACCTAGGTGCTGTGAGGTGGACGTGGTGTGGTCTCTGGTCCCAGGAGCAGATAACTGCCCGTGGACTGTTTCTGGGGAGCAGGGAGGTGAATTTATTAGCTGTTACCTGCGTTCTTGACTCTTCTGAACCAGTGTCCTGTCACTTAAAGACAGGGGAAGCCATTGGTCAGTGTGTCTGCCAGCGCATACCTCTGCAGGCCCTGTCCCTGCTATAAATAAGTGCAGCCAGATTTGTCGGGGTAAGCCAACTTGCCTGTGCGGTGCTGTCTGGAAATAGCTGTGTTGAAGTGGACTCCTTTTGCTAATTAGTGGCAGGGTTTGGGGTCCCGGGCTGTGTATCCTGCTGTGCTAAGTGCGCTCCTGGATCTGCCTGGTCTTCTCCCCTTTCCCTGGCTCTTCTCTCTGCAGACAAACCCACCTGAGAACAGTAGGGAAGGTTGGCTGACTGACGGTTGAACTTGTGGGGAGTCAGCCTTAGGCAGTGTTGTTCCCCTGTGTAGTGAGTGGATCCCCCATGAAGGAGGTTCTTGGTGAGGTCGCTGCACCAGTGACCTCAGTACCTGTGCGGCAATGATGCCCAGAGAAGTGGCCACCGGATCTGGGCATCCTTGTTGCCTCAGTGACGTTCCAGGCTGACAGGTGATAATATTTTGACTTCTGGTTCTTTAAATGGGCTCTTGGTTACACCTGTACACACTTCATGGGGAAACCAAGGAAGCATCCTACGTACTGGAGGAGGAACTTGGTTGGGCACCAGGGTGGTTGAAGTCCCAGAATTCTGTAGAAATCAGGTGAAAGCTTGGAAAGCCCAGCCCTGGGGACAGGAGCCGCCTGCGCTGCGCTGTGCTGTCTGCTTAGCGGAAAGGTGTGGTGGCTGCCTCCTTGTCCTGATAAGGCAGAGAACATTGCCTGCTGGGTGTTGCCAGTTATATCAGCCTGGTGATTGAGGCTTTTTTGTCTAAATAAACTTGGGTTCAGGACACTGGGCTAGCTTCAGGGATAGCACATTCTTTGAAATCAGTTGCTCATAGGTTTTATCATTTGTCTGTAGATAGAAGGACTGCAGACCAAAGCTAGGTGATAACTTTGCTGTTCCTCACTAGCTAGCTGCACAGCTTAGCCACCCCATTCCCAAGTGTTTTCTGTTTACAGGTGCACTGTGCCAGCCAGCCCACAGGCCCACCCGGGTCACAGTGGGGGGCATTAATCTCACGTGGGAGGTATTGTCATTGGATCTTGGTGCCAGTGGACCTTCAGGTTGTCTTTACCTGACAAGGACGGTCCCAGAGGGGTCGGATTCTCAGTGCGGCTAGAGGAGTGTGATTCCCTTTGGTTCTCGAAACGGTGGTGGTCACCTCCCCAAGGGCTGAGGCTTTATGTCCTTGATTGAAATGTTTCTCTCCCAACAGCTGAGCGGGCCTTGGACACCATGAACTTTGATGTGATTAAGGGGAAGCCAATCCGTATCATGTGGTCTCAGAGGGATCCCTCTTTGAGAAAATCTGGTGTGGGAAATGTCTTCATCAAGAACCTGGACAAATCTATAGATAACAAGGCACTTTATGATACGTTTTCTGCTTTTGGAAACATTCTGTCCTGCAAGGTAAATGCTGAGTAAATGATTTTAGCAGAATAGTTACCGAACCTTGAAAACATGAGAAATACCAAGTTGGAACTGCCTTGTTGTTGGGGGCAGCAGGGTGTGGTGACTTTCAGAGTGCTGGGAATGGAGTCCTGCGGGTCCCAGCGGAAGCAGCAGGTGCTTGCATGTCTTGTTTGGCTTCCCTCTCCTGAAATACCCTCCCTGTTTCCCAGCTTTGGAAGCCTCAATAGAGCAGAGGCTGGCAGGGGAGGGGCTGAGAAGCACCTCTGGTCTCTAGGAAGCTTTACTTAGCACTCTGCCTCACAGATCATAAAATAGATTTTTAAAAATTTGATATTCTGTTCACCCTCTTTTCCACACATTGTTTATGTGATATAGACACTTCATGGAACTTCCATGATGATTGTTCCTGTGTCTCATACCACATTGGATTAAAGTTCCATGTGGCCTCGAGCAGTGGTTTGTCTGTGTTTGCACCCAGAGCTCTTAGAGGATTTTGTGATACAAATGAGTAAGACATCATGTGGAATTTAAGCAGCATGATTTGTACATGGAGCATTTACGAGGTGTGTGGTGATGTGCCGCGTTGTTGGAAGATTCACACTAGCGTAGACATTGTGGTGCGGTGGGCTAGGCTGTGCATTTGGCTCTCCTGTACTGCATTCCGTATCGGAGTACTAGTTTGCATCTCAGCACCTTCGTTTCTAATCCAGCTTCCCGCTAATGCATTCTGGGAGGCAGCATTGAGGGCTCTCTGCCACTTACCAGGGAGACAAGGATGGAGCTGAGGCTCCTGGCTTTGGCCTGCCCAGCCCTAGCAGTTAATGGGCATTTGGGGAGTAAACCAGTGAAAGATAACCTTTCACATCTGTAAAAATAATACACTTTAAAAAAATACCAAGTATGGTCGGTGGTGCTAAACGATCTGCCTTGTCCTTGCCAGGTGGTGTGTGATGAGAACGGCTCTAAGGGTTATGCCTTTGTCCACTTCGAGACGCAAGAGGCTGCCGACAAGGCCATCGAGAAGATGAATGGCATGCTCCTCAATGACCGCAAAGTGTGAGTGTCCCAGTCCGGAGCAACAGCCATCGCATGAGCCAGCCGTTGGCCCCACCTCGGTATTAACTGGCACACACAAGGCGGCTACTGGTTCTCTCGGCCCAAGTGTGGCCTGCTCCTACCTCTCCACTCCAGGGCTGGTGAGTCTTCCTGCCTGAGCTGTGGCAGCCCTTTTGACTCGCCGAGGTGGGCTTTCCTGCCCAAGCCGTGGCCTGCCTGCCGCCTCCCTTACAGGCATCCATCCGTGGGTTTTGTGAGCATCAGCAGCAGGGATGGCGGGAAGGCAGCTCTGAGCCCACTCTGAGCAGGGGTCTTGGCCAGCAGCAGAGTGGAGAGGGCCCTGGGCTGACCAGGAGCTGTGTACTAGCTATGTGACCTTGGCCTTCCTGTGACTCAGGTCTGTCCATGGGTCTCGCTAGTGGTTGATTCCAAATTGTCCCTCTAGTTCTCTGTTTTCTATCGTGACTCAGTGACGTCTAAAACAAGGCTGGCTCCACTGGAATACTTAATTTGATTATAATGGAAACAGTCCCATCCCTTTGCTTGCAGACACATGTCATAACAGACCTTGTCACTTGTTAAAGTGCACACAGAGAGTGGGAACTTAGAAAACCACGTTGAGGAAGGGACAGTGCAAGCTGAAATCATTTCTGTTCTTCGTGGTGTTGGGCAGAAAAGAGAAGATGGGTTGTGTTTCAGATGTTTCTGTGCACAGCGGTCAGTTACATGTAGGAAAAAAAAAAATTTTCCTGAACCAAAATGAATCAAATAGCCGAGCAAAGGGTACCTCTTTGCTAGTACTAACCACTGTTAACAGTTTGGTTTGTATCCTTCCAGACCTTTTCTATGCATTTACATAGATGCACAGAAAGGAACGTTTTAAAAACATGGCCATCAGGTTTCTGCACGAAGGCAGTGTGATGTGGTAGGAGTAGCCCTGGTCTGGGCCGGGAGCCCTGGGGCTGGTCCTCGCAGGGTAGTCCTGCCTCTTTCTCATTCTGCTGGGGACTTGTCTCTGAGCTTATTCTTGGTGGTGGATGGGGACCTTATTTATTTTAACCTCTCCTGTCGGCCTTTAACTCGCATTCCTTTGGAACCCCTGGAAATCACGTTTTGTTCCTCTGGGTAATGACTGCTTTTCATGGTCTCTTTTTAGGTTTGTGGGCAGATTCAAGTCACGTAAAGAGCGGGAAGCTGAGCTTGGAGCCAAAGCCAAGGAATTCACTAATGTTTATATTAAAAACTTTGGGGAGGAGGTGGATGATGAAAGTCTGAAAGACCTATTTAGTCAATTTGGTAAGTTGAGAGTCCTTTGCCCTATTTGTCCCCTTTCACAGTCTACTAGACCCCAGAACTCATCTATTTTTACTTAAGAGATGAGGACAGTAAACCCAGAAATAAAACAGCTTGCATGACCAAGGTCACAGGGTAGGTGGGGTAGACCTCTTCCTACCCCTAAGGCCACCTCAGCTGCTTAGTCCCAATTAGACGACCAGGCGTACACCCTTTCCTGTGCCCTTTTAAAACTGACAGTGCTTTAAGAGGCTAACACAGAAGGGGAAAGTAAGTCTCCCTAAAACCCAGAGAAGAGATTGTCATCTCCTCTTTGGATCCTGTCTGGAGATACAGCTGATAAGAGAAGACCAAGGCATAGTGTCTTTCTGTCTTAAGAGTTCATTTGGGCTGGCCAGAGATTTACGTTGAGAATTCCTATAGAGAAGCCTTTTCTCTAGCTACGGTAGAGATGATGTTACTAATAGTTCTGTGCTTTAATAGGTAAAACCCTCAGTGTCAAGGTGATGAGAGATCCCAGTGGGAAATCCAAAGGCTTTGGCTTTGTGAGTTACGAAAAACACGAGGATGCCAACAAGGTGAGAGTACCACAAGGACGGGGAGAATTTTGTAGGAGGTGGTCCCAGAGTAAGGGTAGGGTCTTGCTAGCAGGTGGTAGAGCAGAGCTAGAATGGTCTGAGGGTCTGGTAATAAATAGGTCCTAAATTTGTCATTGATCGTTTACAGAGCACTTGGCACGTACCTGTTAGCCTGTTGTTGAAAGAACAGGATGGTTGTTCCCATTCATGGGTGAGGTGACCAAAGCCCAGAGAGTTGCTGATTGATGACAGCACACTGTAGGCAAAGTATGGTGCTCAGCCCCAAAAAACACATCAGAGAGCGTGAGAAATTTAATGACAGCCATGCCATCATGTTTGTATTTAATGAAAAACCTGGGTTTTCTCGTTTCCTTTTATATTATCTGGACCAATATCCATTTAAATATTAATTCCACTTTAGAGGTGAGGAAGTGTGAGCTTGTTTAGCAGACTTCAGAGATGGCATAAAATTTGATTTTAACCCACAGGAAAGAGGTTTTTCTCAGTGTTGAACTGGACTTAAATAGACCTCAAATAAGGCCCCTGTCTCTGCAACTTTATTTTTTCTCTAGGCCGTAGAAGAGATGAATGGAAAAGAGATTGGTGGGAAAGTCATATTTGTAGGCCGCGCACAGAAGAAAGTAGAACGGCAAGCTGAATTAAAACGGAAATTTGAGCAGCTAAAACAGGAGCGAATTAGTCGATACCAGGTGAGGTGGTCTTGGCCCAGCCTGCCAGTGGGATATACTGTGAAACCTATGCATAGCACCCTTTGTTCACCCAAGACTGCCTCCTCTCAGTTCTTCCAGCACCAGGTTTAGAAGGATAAGTCACTGATGAGATACTATAGTGATTATAGAACAGAGATTCCTTTGGAGGGCCAACTTTCCTAGAAAACTTGGCATGTTGGACTTTGCTATGTGGGTTCCTTCTATTTAAGATAAAACCTGGTGAGAAGAGCCCTACAGCGGTGAGTGGCCAGCCAGAGCAGCTGTGAAGCAGATGCCTGGTTACCTTGGGGTGGGTGTGAGTTGGATGGAGCAAATAACACTGTTTGGGACACCTGCATCCTGTATCTCAGTGCCTGGGTTCAAGTCTTGTGTCCACTCCTGACCAGCATTCCAGTTCCATTTAATGCATATCCTAGGAGTCAGTGGATAATACCTCTGTAGTTGGTCCCAGGGCTGGCGTTGTGGTATGGCAGGTTAAGCCACTGCTTGCAGTGCTGACATACCAAATCAGATTGCTCATTCACGGATCCCCTGTTCCGTTTCTGATCCAGCTTCTTGCTGTTGTACCTGTAAAGGCATAGATGGTAGCCAAATTACTTGGGCCCCTGCTACCCAAGTGGAAGACTGGGAAGGAGTTCCTGGCTCCTGGCTCCTGGCTCCTGGCTCCAGGGGAGTGAACAAAGATGGGAAGACTCTGTCTCTGTGATTGCCTTGATGATCTGAACTGTTAGGGCAGTAATTTCTAACATTGGGATTGCAGGAGAATCACTTGCAGAGCTGACACAATGCTGGGCCCTAGCCCCAGAATTGCTCTTATATCAGATCTGAGGTCCAAAGATTTATTTTGTTAGTTTGAAAGGCAGGAGTTGTAGAGAAGGATCTTCCATCTGTTCTCCCACATGGGTAGCAGGGCCTCAAGTACTTGGGCCATCCTCTGTTGCATCCCTAGGCACATCAGCAGGGAGCTGTATTGGACGCAGAGCATGTGGGGCCTGAACCAGCACTCTGATGTGGGATGTGGGCATCGCAGGCAGCAGCCCAACCTCTGTGCCAAAATACTGGCCTCAAGATTTTTATTTCTACAAATTTCCAAGGATGTTGACAGGCTGCTTTAGGGATTTCACTTTGGGGACCATTGTCTTGGGAAATAGATGCGACATTCAGTTAACAGGGATGTTTCTCCTTTATTTAGGGTGTGAACCTCTACATTAAGAACTTGGATGACACCATTGATGATGAGAAATTACGGAAAGAATTTTCTCCTTTTGGGTCAATCACCAGTGCTAAGGTATTTTAATTATATTGGGGGAGTGAAATAGCAGTATTCTGTTACAGATTTTGGCTGTGTTTTACCTAAGGGTCTAAACTTGTAAAAAGTAGCTGCTAGAGCTCATGACGAGCCTCGGGTGATCACTGACATCATAAATAAGAGTGTCAGTTGTTAAATCAACAACAGGAGTCACTGTGCACTTGCTCCCCATGTAGGATCTCTGTCCTTAATGTGTTGTACTATGAGAATTAACGGTAAAAATAGTCTTCAAACAGTACTTTATACTTTGTGTGTCCGGGTGATAACTGTTGAAATCTTACTTAGTATAGAGTTGATCTTCTGTATATAAAGATAATTAAAAATGAATCTTAATGAAGAATGGAATAGGAGAAAGAGTAGGAGATGGAATGGTTTGTGGGTGGGAGGGAGGTTATGAATGAAGAACCGCTAAAATCCAAAAGTTGTGCTTATGAAATTTATATTTATTAAATAAAAGCTTTCTATTAAAAAGTAGCTGCTAGGTTATTCTAGAAAATTCCTCTTTGCTCTCAGTTCTCCTGAGTTCTTCCTGGGGAATGACATCTCTGGGCTCGTGTTAGGACCTCCTGAGCGCTGGAGTAAGGGCAGATGAGACCGCGCCCCTCCCTGCCAGCCCTCATAGCACCTGAGTCTTTCCCATTCCCTGCTGCTCTGTGCTGGTGTGGGGACGGATGGTGCCACAGCGTGGGCAGAGGAAATCCAGACGGGCTGTTTTCCATTCACCTTGGAGCCTGTCTCTACAGCTCTGCTACATTTTCTCCTTCTGGAGAATGAACGTGTTAAAGATTTTGGAGCTGAAGTTGGCAACTTCTTGCTCGGTCTTTGGTAGGAAAAGGAAAAAGGAGTGGAGAGTTTGCTTTTCTACGTTTTGCTCTTTGCATCATTTGTTTTCTAAAGAATTTGAGTCTGTGAGCAAGCAAATGCTACAGGGGGACTATATTGCATGTCCTTGACACTTCCGGAGTATGATGGAGACTGATGGCATTGGAAAGTTTTGGGTCATACTCTGGAGACACTGGCCTGCTTGGCAGAGGTGCAGCAGATGCCACCGAGTCCTTTAGGTGATGAGAAAGGAGGCTAGGTGTGCTGGTAAGGGCTTGGTGGCCTGTCCCAGCCTGTGAATGATGTGCAAAAGAACTCTGAGTTGTAGGAAGTTAACGCGACGCTAATTCCCTGGGGCTTGTTCCTTACCCCTTGCTCACCCAGCTGTTCCCATCAGTCTAAGGAATGATAGTGCTTATCTACATAGTAGGCAAGTTTGCCTTTGTGCAAGCAGCAGCAGAACTATACCTTGCAGTTTTCGCACATCCTGCTAGCCTGCCTCCCTGGGAGAGTGTTGGGTTGGTGCAAAGCTTTACCTCCATAGCCTCCATTTCAGGAGGCTCTCTGGGCCCTACACAGAGACACTCACAGTACAAAGCACACGCAGTCTGAGGAAAAGCCATACGTACTCTTTGAGGTGGAGAAAAATGCTGTTAGTGAATGACTTCATCTGGAAAAAGATTGCCTGGTCTAGTGGACACGTGGCTTTGAAGCTGTTTGTCTAGGAGAATGTGAAAATGCAGCTCAGGGCCAGGTACCTAGAGTTAGAGCCCAGGCTGCCTGTCTCCCAGCTTGTCATCCCTGCCGTTCTCACTGCACTCATAGTGGCTGTCATTGGAGACCTGAGGGTTCTGTGACTGCTGCTCACGGGTGGTATTTCAAAAGCATCATCCTAACTGTGCCAAGCCTGTTGTCCACCAGGGTCTTGGAAAGGATGAGTTCTACAGAGTTTGTTCCTCATTACTGATGTCTTGTGATCTGTGCTTGTGGTGGCTATGATTCTAGGTGTCAGGAAACATCTTTATATTCCTGGTTTTATCATTAGTTGTATCACAGTGTTGGGGAACTCTAGCAGTCCCTGTGGACTTGAAAATGTCTAGGAACCCTAGAGGCTGTGATGATCTCAGGTTTTTGGGGGTTCTGTTTTTTTGTTCTTTGGGATAGCTTCCTCCCAACCCCAAAACCTTTTTCTTAAGAGGCTGGTCTCATTTTGTAGGTGATGCTGGAGGATGGAAGAAGCAAAGGATTTGGCTTTGTCTGCTTCTCATCTCCTGAAGAGGCAACCAAAGCAGTCACTGAGATGAACGGACGCATTGTGGGCTCCAAGCCACTGTACGTTGCCCTAGCCCAGAGGAAGGAAGAGAGAAAGGCCCACCTGACCAACCAGTATATGCAGCGGGTGGCTGGAATGAGAGCACTCCCTGCCAACGCCATCTTAAATCAGTTCCAGCCTGCAGCTGGTGGCTACTTTGTGCCAGCAGTTCCACAGGTGGGTCTGTTGTCAGTTCATGTCTTTGGAGTCTGCCCAGTAACAGCAGTTCTGCCCTGACTGGGGAGAGGGATGTGGGGTAGTGGAATTCTAGACTGTCAGAGTAAAGACCCTTTAAGGGAAAATGAGGAAGGACTTACTTATATCCGTGTACACAGTGGCAGAGTGAACAGTCCCCATTAACCGAAAATGAGGAAGGACTTACTTATATCCGTATACACAGTGGCGGTGTGAACAGTCCCCATTAACCGACCCCTCAGCTTCTGAGTAGAGCTCCCTTTACTCCAGACAGTTACCCTAGGGCCAGGTGGTGGTAAAATGAGTGGATTCAGGTCCTTGAGATAAAAGGGCTTGAGTGCTCTTCTTTCTTACAGGCTCAGGGAAGACCTCCTTATTACACCCCTAACCA